GTGTCGTTTAGCCTTAACTCTTTCCTCTATTTTTCTGACGAATGTACTTACAGGGAGATCCTCTGTTAAATCAACCTTCGGTCCAGCACCCTGCTCCTTCCCTTGGCCCTTTCTCCATGGCTGGTGCTGTCTGAAGTCAGCTTTATGGACCATGGGTGGCTGGAGTTGTCCACCAGAACCCCTCCATACACCAGTATTGCAGAGGACAGCCCATCAGTGCTGTGTAACATCTTTAAAAAAATCTTGACTAAGAATATCTTTCCTGGCATATTTGCGAGGGTTGCTGTACGCCTCTTCCACAGGCACCTGATCGTAGCAAATTATATTAGTTGCAACTTGTACTACCCAAACTTGGAACGGAGTATTTGGAAATTACAAAACACTCGGGACAAAACTGTATTCAATAAAATTATTTCAGGTACTTTCAGATGTTGAGTTCTCCCTACTTGCTATTCTGTACCTCATTTTATTGACGCATCCAAACCTTCCACAACCTGCAAATTTCATTGCCAAACGACACTACTAACCTTAGCTTGCCTGGCAGCCCACCACCTTGTTTCTCCCTGCCAGACAGCTCGTCATTCACTGTACAAACAGTCTCTCTTCCTGTGTCAAGTCCCAACTTTGTCTGCGGTACCTCAGCAGATACTTTGCCAAACTCCCAAAAGACCCCAAAGTCTCCTGGGGGATGGGAAGCATCGTTCCTTTCCACAAAAAAAAGGCAAGCTTACCAAAGACAGGTAAATACGTCACAAGGTTTATCTGAGACTACATCTATTTTGCCTTTTGTCCTAGGTAGCTGCATGGGAATTTTCATTATCTTCAAAATATATTACACAAAGCTACAGAAATACTGAGGTTCAGATTAATGGGTTTTCATTGCTTAGCCTGTTTTTTTGCCTCATTCTGCTTTCTTTAATGTTAATAGATAAATGGTCGGGGCTGCAGTACATTAATGTTCCCATTTAACAGTTCAAATGATATCGCTAGACCAGCTAAGATGACACAGAAGAGGATGGAAAATGATAATTAGATTTCTCCACATGGTTCTTAGGAGGTAATTACCGTCCCCCAAGTCATCACATACCAGCCCAGTTACATAACCCGGTTTTGTTTGTTAAACTTGTTTGAGAGCATTTGACTTCAGCTCGCCTTCTTTCTTAGTCATCTGTATCACACCCAGAGAAACAAGCCTTTGAAACATGTATACACACACACGCACACCCATGGAGGTGCAATACATGTTGCACCTACCCTCCCTTCGTCTGCCATTAACACCACCTTTCTGTCTGCCAGCAGGGGGATGGGTATGAAGTCAGCCCTGGGAGTAAGAGAATGCGGAGAAAGAAACCCGGACAGCTGTACATGGTTGGTTTGTCCAGGGAATTTTCTCCTTCTCCACTCCCTCTGGTCTAATCCCCCAAACAAGACACCCCTTTATTTTATAGTTCCAAGAACTGTCTGGGCAGTGCCAACACAGATTTCCCCATTCTCGGTGAATAACACAAGGTAGAAGAAAACTTACAGGCTTAAAGGGAAGATCATAGTACCAGAATGCAATCAAGGCATAAGGTCAGGCATCTCTTCCTGGCTGCTGTACCTGCTTCTCCATTAGGCAGGCAGAAAACAACAATTCCTTTCCTCCATAATGAAATGTAACAGGGGTTTCTGAAACTTTTAGACCTTTAGATAGAAGACACCATAGAAGCAAATAGGGCTTATTTCAGGGGTGAGGAAGGTACTCGAGCAAAAGAACAGTGGAAAAATACCTTTGCCACAATTGGACAGCAACCCAATTCTTTCAAGGAAAACTCACAAGCTTCCTTAGTTGGAAAGAAATTCCTACTTCTGCCCTTTACATGAATGCTAATCAAGACAGTTTAAAATGCATGTTCATTAGTTAATTTCCCCTGCAAACAAGCAGGAGAAGAGGAAAAAAAAAACCCCAGACTTCAGGGAAAACAGGCTCAGACATGGTAACACCATTTGCTTTCTGACATTTGCAAAACAAATGTTGATTTCTACAGTTCAAGATACCGCACATTAGATCACTCTTCCCTTGGCTGGGAGTTGGGTCACTTTTTTTTAATCAAATGTAACCATGTTATCGCTGTAGCTCTAGTACAGTCTATGAAAATTTTGAAATAGACTCTAGACCTACCCTCAGACACACCAGAATCAGGATTAAAAAAAAAAAGTAACAAAAAATTCTGCTTCTTATTCCTTCCCCTGCCTTCATACAGCAATACTTCTGCTGCACTTACAAGTCTGGTAACAGCACCATAAGTCAGCATGGCAAGAAGCTGTTCTTGGGGGGGAAGAGTTGCTACACAGACAGCTACCATAAGTCAGCATGGCAAGAAGCTAATCCTGTAACAGTGCTCGTTCTTGGGGGGGAAGAGTTGCTACACAGACAGCAACATTTGGGCACCACCAGCAGAGTAAAGAAGTCATTACCCCACTCTACTCAGTGCTTGTCAGGCCAAACCTGGAATACTGAGCACAGTTCCGGTCCCCACTGTACAAAAGATGTTGACAGGCTGGAGGGTGTCCAGAGAAGGGCCACCAAGGTGATCTGGAAAGCCTGGCATATGAGGGCAGGCTGAGAGAACTGGGTTTGTCCAGCCTAGAGGAAAGGAGCCTCAGAGGTGATCTCATCACCGTGTACCAGTATTTAAAGGGTGGCTACAAAGAAGATGGGAGACTCCCTTTTCACAAGGAGTCACGTGGAAAAGATGAGGGGTAATGGGTACAGGTCGATCCTGAGAAGATTCCGACTGGACATGAGAGGAAAATTTTTCACAATGAGAACAGTCAACCATTGGAATAATCTCCCTAGGGGAGAGTGGTTGACTCCGCCACATTGGACACTTCCAAGATGCAGCTGGACAGGGTGCTGGGCCATCTTGTTTTGGCTGGGG